TTAGAATTACATCAAAGTGGATTTTACTCACCAAAGTAATTAAATTCTCAAGTTAATTAATTCTAAATTATATGATTATTATGAGAATTTCACAATTTGGTTGTAACACCTTGCTTTAATTTCAAAATAATAAATTTTGCAAAATGGGAATAATTAAAATTTCATTTAAATATAATTTTCCAATACAGAGTTTCATCGAGGTTTTTCAAAACAATAAGGGATTACAAGTTTATATTGTTAACCACTATAGGACCAATCCAATTACATTGTAATTCCAAAATAAAATCTAACCCTATAGCAGTTTCATCCACCCCTTCACTAAGTCCGGTGCTGATCGTCTTGGTCACCTGAAAAATAAATGTACGGGTGAGTACTCTACACTATCCAACACACAATCAAATATAGAGTCTCACCTTGCACATGTGTCACATCATATCGAATACAATTTACACAGGTATAATCACGAGCAACAATGTCAAGTAATTCATTTCATTTCACAACCGATGCGCTCACTGCACCAACAACAATATTTCATGCACAAGTGCACTCACTGCACTTAGCCACGCTCACTATGGCACTATAATCACAGATTCATACCATGGATGGTCGTCAGTTACCCCCGCATCACGGATACCACGTGTGCGGTCACGAGTCGCTCAGTAAAGATAATGGTCAGAGATCTAGTCAGGAGGAAGGTGTGTGGCCTGTGGTGCACCCACGCTCACTGTTGGTGCCATCACCACTCTCTCCTCCCCAAGGTATGTCTACTGTCCTCATCTTCCACACCTCCAGTGTATTGCTGAACCATTCATAGCATAATTACAATGGCATTTAACATGCCCTATTCACACACATTTCAATTACACACAATATTCATGTTTGCACATGGCACATATTGCCCCATTTATTTATAACGCACGACACACAAGCCCATATTCATTCACAACACTCGACACATATGCCCTTATTCTGTCACACAACATTTTCATATAATCCACATTACTTAATTTATTCCATCATATACCCTATGATCTATTCAATCTTTCCACCACAATCTTACTACAATTAATCAATTCTATCAAGCACACACATATTCCAAATCATCCACATGACATTGCATAGCAAACTACATGACATTCAAACATAATGAGATAGGGTAGAGTCTCCCCTTACCTCAAATCGAAGACCACGCACAACTCAATCACGGAGGACCTGTCCACCCGAATTTCATCCTAAATACATGGAAGAAACCCATGAGAACTAAGGAAAACTAAGAAAACAGCGAGTGGGGACGAGAAACGATATACCCTAACCATGGAAACTCACCTCCAAAGCTCTAAACGTGCTTCAAATCTTCAATCTTGTACCCCAAAAGGCTTTAGAGACAATTTGATCTGTAAGAATGGCTTGGGGATCAAGGGGAATGAGAGACTGTTCAAAAAGAGAAGTGGGAAATGATTTCCCCCAAACCCTAACCCCTCAAATAACCCTCTAGTTGCGACGCTCTCGCAGTGAGGTATCCTCACTACAGCAAGGTCTCCTCGCTACAGTGACACCCTCTCTCGCTACATCAAAAATCTCAGAAGGAATTGCATTCTAATTTCTGCAAAATCTCACTAAAGCGAGACTGCACCCAAATATGCACCCCAAATTGTCGCTCTGTCACTATAGCAAGAAAGCAACAGTTTCACCCCTTCTTCCCAGGGTCCTTTCGCTACAGTGAGACATCTCTCGCTGCAGCGAGAACACCCTACATTAGACACTTAGCCAAATTTTATCACTCAAACTAGCCACAGACCAACATTCTCAGCACACACACACACACACACACACACATATATATATTCAATCTATTCCAGTGCAGTCATAATTCACATTACATATTCATATATATTCACATCATTACACACCTATACACCATCCTCAAGTATAGGGCAATCCACACACACACACACACACATATATGTATATATACACACACATTAATAACTAAACAATATTACAAAATTTGGGACGTTACAACTCTCCTCTCCTTTAGGGAATTTCCCCCCAAAATTCAATCCAACATACACATATTACATAAAAAATCCTGGATATAACTCTCTCATTCTATTCTCTGCAATCCTCACTGGATACACGTCATAAGACAAGTCTTCCCTCACTTAAACCGAGTCAAGATCAATCACATAGGAAGGATCTGGCACATACTGGCTGAGTTGTGACACATGGAACACTGAATGTAGATTTGAGAGATTCAAAGGCAATGCTATCCGGTATGCTGATGAATCCATATTTTTACTAGTATTTTACTATAGTTTTAATCCATTTAATAAAGAAAATATGTTGGAAAAAGCAGAAAAACTTATAAAAATAGAATGATTGAAGGTTGTCTTTAAATACATAGTTATTTCAACATTTGTGAATTTTTTGTGTAGAAATTAATAATTCAAGCATGTTTTTGTAAAAAATTTTGAGCAAAGTTCATGAAGATGGAAGATCAATAGAAAGATAGAAGAAAAGTAGCAAATCTGGACTCAAAGAACAAGGTTTATGGAGTTTGAGCTGGGCGTGATCACTATTGTCAGTGAAAGTGATTGATCTAGAGCTTAAATGAGAAATGGAGTCTGTGCATAATCACTATTATCCACAAGAGTGAGTGTTCCAGAGGCTTTCTCAGAAGAACACAGTGCACGATATCACTTTCGCTGGTGAAAGTGAGCAATCTAGACGAGCTCCAGACTTAGCAAGTTGCGCGTTGACACTTTCATTGGTGAAAGTGAACGTTCCAGTCAATAGGGGTGTCAGCTATGAACTGGGTGATCCACGAACCTCCACTCTTCAATCCATGAATAACTCGAGCGAATTCACGGAAGATACTTTGCTGAGCCGCGGAGTCGAACACCCACAGATCCTCCTCAGAAGGAAGGATCCACACCTTCACCTTGTTCCTGTCCATCTATATAAATAAAAAAAGAACGAAACAAGGCAACACAAACAAAGGGGTGAGTTCTCCAAACACAAACATCATTCAATAGCCATACCCCAAGGAAGGCGATGTCACAATCACAATTCAGTCCAATAATCAACATTCAACATCATCAAATATTCAATAATATAGTAGGGTGATAAATAATATTCATAATCATTGTCAATTTCACAAGTACTCAATCATCCCTAATAGTAATGCACATGATGCATGAATGCAGGTTTCGATCTCACCCATATAGTCACTCATATGTCAATAGAATGCAAATGATGCATGGGGATCCCATTCCTCTATGAGGCGACTTGCCCAACTTTTAGCATAGAGATAGATAGATAAAATCAAGTCGTATGGCGATCGGAGGACTCCATTCCCTACTCTGCACAGTGATATCATAGATAGAAATACAATAATAGCACATCAGTCGATGTGTAGTGCCATCCGGCATGTTCAGGAATGGACCTCAATAACCCTAGTGTTATGGAGTTTACGTCAGGTTTGGCCAAGGTCTTGCAAGTGGGTCACGACTCGACTACAGGGAGCCCAGCTGCCATGTGCCACTTAGGTCAGATGTTCCCCTTTTCGCCAGCCCAGAAGGTCTACTTTGGATCGAACTTCCAATACCTACAGCTGTGCCTCTGTTATGCCATCAAGTCGTTTCACAAGATAATATGATGCATGAAGTAGCATTCTCAGATTTCTTGTGATAGTTTTCTCAATTCATTTTACTTAGCCGCTTGGAGGCTATTGCACAGTAATAATAGAAGCCATTATGGGCTTAGAATCATAGCATATAGCATAGAGCTAGAAGTCATCATAGACTTAGCAACATGGATAGATAAACTCCATGAGTCATATGTAGTAGCATGGATAGACAGATTCCACGAGTCTCATGTCGTAGCATTGATAAATAGTTACCATGAGTTTCATAATAATTTTTGATGAGTTCATAATAATGATTTCAAAGTAGTATAGTTTTAGGAACTCAGACATTTCATCATAGATTCATAGTCTCATGGTTTTATAAATTCATACTCATGGATAGTTTTAGTGTAGCATATAGTACATTGGACCTTAGCTTAGGCAATTCATTCAAGCCTTCAAGATTCATTTCCTCCTTCTCAGTTTACTTTCTTTCTTTCATATTTCAAGTATAGTCTCTCTATAATTTGGTACAATTTCTTTTCTCAATCCTTGCAATCTCGTCATTCAAGTTCATCCTAATAATTTCATTTATTTCCATCAATCTCTAACACCTTCTAAACCATTAATCATTCAACACAACTCTTATTCTCTTAATTCTTTCCTCTCGATTTTTCTCTCTATAAAAGAAGTATTCATCAAACTTAAATTTCCTCTAAACCATAATTAGTCAAGTTGATTCCCAATGATCCCAGGTCATTATCTCTTGGTTTTGCACTCTGTATTAGAGAAGTTCAATCAAACTTAAGTACTTTCTATAACATCAAATTAATTAGAATATTGATTATTCCAATTGGAGTTAGAATTCTTGGCAGCAGAATATTGATTATTCCAATTAGAATATTGCTGACTTCTATTATTCAAAAATTGAAATCCAGGAGGATATGAGGATTGTTGTCTCTAAAAATTGTTCATATAATGCACTTGTTCCTATGGTTCACTTGTAGATGCCTCACATGCACCATTTGCATGGTTTCCTCCACAAAAATCACAGTTTAACTGACTGGTAGGCATACTCCCTGCTTGAAGATTGCTAATTTGCTGAGTCAAGGTAGCTATTTATTCTGAAAACATCTGATTTTGTAGTTGGTTCTATGTAAGAAAGGTTTCCAAAACCTTAGCTTCATAACCAGAGTTTCTTCCTTGATTTCTTGAGTTTGAATTTTGGTACATTGAAGATGCCATCATCTCAATAATCTTCTAGGCTTCTTCTAAAGATTTTGTGTTTAAGGAACCTCCAGCAGCAGCATCAACTATTGTTCTTGTTGATGTATTCATTCCATTATAGAAGGTTTCCAATTGCATCCAATCTGGAATACAATGATGTCGACACCTCCTTAATAGCTCCTTATATCTTTCCCAAGCTTCATACAAGGATTCTCCTTCCTACTGCACAAAGGATGTAATTTCTCCTCTCAGCTTAGTAGCTTTGGATGGAGGGAAGTATTTAGTTAGAAACTTATTCACAAGTTCTGTCCAAGTTGTTATGCTTCCTTGTGGTTGAGCTTGCAACCAGCATTTGGCTTTATCTCTCAAGGAAAAAAGAAATAATCTCAGTCTAATGGCTTCTTCACTAACCCCATTCATTCTTATGGTATCACATAGCTGCAAAAAGTTTGAAATATGTACGTTAGGGTCATTAGAATTTTCACCAGAAAACTGATCCTGTTGGACTAAGTGTAATAAGGCAGGTTTAATTTCAAAATGGTTGGCTTGGATAGTTGGCCTAATTATAGAAGAATTAAAACCTTGCATGTTAGGAATTGCATAATCCCCTAATGTTCTAATCCTATTCTGTTCTACCATCTCTATTTTTGGATTTGGTTGTCTCAAAGGTGTAGGTGTTCTTTTTACTCTAAGAGTGTTTTGAATCTTTGAAGAATGGACAACCTCTACTTCACTATCAGAATCCAAGAAAGTTTCTGCTCTAGTCTCTCTTCTTAATCTCCTCAAGGTTATGTCTATATCAGGATCAAAGACTAGAGTTGATTTATTTTTATTTCTACCTCGCATATACAATTAACAATATAGAGATAGTATGAAGAAAACATAAAACTAAACTAAATCACAGTATACAGATGCAAACTGACTACTGCTAACAATATAAAATCTATCAGAAATCAGAATTACACAGATTCAGAGTTAACTATTTAATTAATTGCAAATAGAAAATTTCTAAATATAGTCTAATACTGCAGAAATTTTAAAGAAACTAAGTGCTCAATCTAACTATTTTTCTGCTACTAATGATATTGAAACTCAAATTCCCCGGCAACGGCGCCAAAAACTTGTTGTTTACAATTCTGAACACGAGCAAGTGCACTAGGAATTGCAACAAGTAATGAGTAATTTTTAAGATCAGAATATCGTCTCCACAGGGAATTAGGAAATCAATTATCACTTCACAGAACTATAACCATTTGAGCCATACGAATTTGGAAGATTTATAACATTCAAAAATCAAGAACAAGCACAATTAAAAAGTAAGAAACTTGCAGTAAAAACAGAGTATGAAAGTTGTGATAAAATGAGATAGAAATGAAGAATAGTTAGGAATTTATTTCACAAGAATGTTAATATCAATTCAATCATGCCTCTGAATATTCAAGTAATTGGTTAATTGCCAATCAGTTTCTCTTATTAATAGTCAAAGTTTAATTCCTTAAATTATTGACCCTAACAAGTGATAAATCCATATTTTACTATATTTTACTATATTTTTAGCCTAGTTTTTGTTAGTAAATAAAGAGTTAAATAGTAAATAAACTTGAAAATATAATAAAAATTGCATTAATATTCATAATTGTATAAATAATTTAAAATTTTAGATTTTAGTCCAATTCTGAACAATTTGACTCAAAAGTGACCTAATCCTTGTGCAGAAGCCTGAGTTGAGAATTTGAGTTGAAGATTGAAGTGAAGAAAGTAGAGGAATTGAGCTTAAAAGATGAAGAATCAAGTGTTATATGAAGGGCATAATTACTCTGAGTACATAGAGTGAACACTTTGAAGAAGAAAATTCATGAAGATCAAGAGAGTAGCTACTTCAAGTGTTCAAAGTAGCTACGCAGTTGAGCGCGTAGCCACTTCAAGTGCCCAGAGTAGCTATGTAGAGCGCGTAGCTACTTTAAGCGCTCAGAGTAGCTACGCCCATGGCTAATGTAGAACTGTGCAATGCACGCAACTACTTCAAGTGCTCAGAGTAACTACACAATTGAGCGCATAGCTATTTCAAGTGCCCAGAGTAGCTACACAGTCAACGCGTAGCTACTTCAAGGTTCAAAGTAGCTACGCAAAAATAACAGAATTTTAAATATCACTTCTAAGTGTCAACTTTGGACAATTTGAGTTCTTAAATCAGTTTTAAAAGCTTCTAGAAGACCTTTGATGCTAGAATTCTCAGAGAATTAACATGTAGAAAAGCAAAAGGCGGGAAAAACTATATAAATAAAAGTTAGAGGTTCAGAAAAAGGGACTTTTGTTCATTTTTGTTATCTTTCACTTTGTAACTGGTTTAACTTCTAAGGGAAGTTAGAGAGAGAGATTGGGAGCGACTTTCAAGCTTCATTTCTAGAGGAATCAGAGTGAAGATTGGGTCTTTGGAAGATGTTCTTCTGCTTCTTGTCTTCTTCTTCTCTTACTTCTCCTTTCTCCATTGTAATGTTATTCTAAATCTTTTTGGTTAGGGATCTATGGATCCAGATTTGATGTTGTGATGTAATTGTGGATTGAATCTTGAGATTTTAATTGAATTGAGTATGTGATTTTGTTCTTAATGCAGTTGTGAACTAATCCTTCATTCAATTGAATTTAGAGGAATTTCCATCAATGGAAATTGAGTTTATTTCTCATATCTGAATCATATGCCTAGGTTATTGAAATCTTAGGAATAAGTATCATGATCTAGTAATCCTATAATTTCCAAAACTTAATGCAATATTTGATTAAATTTCACCTAAGGGATTAGGGAGGTTTAATTAGGTATTAGGATCAGTGAGGCAAGAAATTGTCCTTTGGTTAAAGAAGTGAAATTGATTAGCAATCAATTAAAATTCTCAAGAGTTCAGAACATGATTATATTGTAATTGAAAATCTGGTGAAGTGATTCCTAACTATTTTCCATATAACATTTTTAATACAAAATTCGTATTCTATTTTTACAGCAAGTTTATTACCTTTTATTGTCTTTATTTCTTACTTTCACATGTTACAAACCCCTCAAATGAATTGTTTTGCTCAACTAATTGTTAAATTATGAAGTGGTAATTGAAATAAGATCCTTGTGTACGATACTTGGGGCTCATATTGAATTCCAAATTTTATTACTTGCTACAACTACCTAGTAATTTTCATCAAATAGTATTTCATCTCACATCATTCACACTTTTCCAGCAAATTCACACAAGTAATTTTCAACATTTTCCAACACCATAGCAAGGTAAAAAATCAAGCCATGCACTTATTCTCATCCAAGGTCAATCATACAAGTTTGCAAGCAATAATCAACCATTCACACAAGCAAAGTCTAGCACAGTTCAATCAATCAAGCCATAGTATAACTCATTCACTTCCATTTAATTTCCTTATGCCTAAAACAAAGCATGCAAGGTATAGTTCAACTTTTTGCAATTTCTTAAAGGTCAAAACCGAGGCTGTCCACTAGAATTAGCACTTCCTTTTGTATAATCCCTTTTTATAGTTTATACCAACCTTTTCCAAATAGTTTCAAGACCTCAAAATACCAATGTTCTAACCTTTTTTGTAAAAATCAAAACTATCCAACATCATAGTTCATTTATTCACCAAGGTTCAAAGCATGCAAAATAAAGAAACTAACATGCAATCATGTAGCTTCATCATCCAAGTGCAGGACTTTTATTTTCAGCAAGGGTTCATGTTTAAAAAGACAAAACTGAGGCAATGCAAGGTGGTTTTAATACTCAACCACTTAATTTTCTAGAAGTCTTGAAAGTAACTTGTTTCAAGAATGATCAAGCATTGGGAACAAGGAATCCGAGACATGCAAAGGTAGGATTTAGTATACAATGCATTAAGTGATCTTTCAAGTACAAGGTTTTTAGTTAGAAATAAGTGTTAAGTGTATGAGATGGAAAACTAAAACATTCTAGGTTGAAAACTAAAATGCAAGGAAAGAAATTGACATGCCAGCTCACAATCCCATGATTCCAAAGGGTGGATCATTATTTGAACAAGAAATCCAACAAAACAAGTGCAAAACCGAGACATGCACAAGAAGGAATTAACATGCAAGTGATAAAATTTTAAGCTTTCAATGGAATCACTTCATCCAAGCACAAAACTGAGAATTTGGAAGTGATTAAAGTGAAGTACAAAGTGGAAACTCAACATGCAAATGGTACAATCAACTTATTCAAAATTATTGAAGGTAAAAATCGAATCTTTCCAAAGACTTTTCACAAGTTCAGCCAAGGGAAAGCAAAATAAGGTTGAAAGGTGAGAACTCCCCCTTGCCTTTGAGTTTTGGAGTGCGAAATGGAAGAGAAAAGGGCTGGAAATGGTGGATCTCCAAGGAATGCTTGCTGGACCAAGAAAATAGCACCAAAGATCTTAAAGTTCCTCCTCCAAAGTGAGCTCCTTCAACACGAAATTTGAAGAGATGGTGGAGGAATAGGGTGGTGAGGGAATGGTGAAGTGTGTGTGCGGTTTGGATGAGAGATTTGTGAGGTTTGTGGGCTGGAGCCTCTCAGTTTCCTTGAGAGAGTGAGAGACTTTGAGAGGATGAGAAATGAGAGAGCAAAGTGAGAGAGAATGAGAAGGGAGGGTCTCGATTTTTGCTTCCAAAATGGGCAAATGGAAAAAATGAACAATTTATATGAAGGTCAAAGTCTTAGTGGTCCAAGGTAATTAGGCACTCATGGTTAGCTTATTGGATAAGCGTTGGAAGTCCCAAAATTTGCTCACGATTCAAATGGAGTAAGATTGAAGTGGAATTGGTGAAAATGGTTCAAGAAAAGGGTGTCACGATTTTTCAAGTGGGAATAGTGAATTTTAGGGAGACTTGCAAGCAAAGTTTACACACTTTTAGCAAGCAAAATGCATGGAATGGTTTAGGACTGCATGCACACGGTTTTGATGATACAATTCCCAAAATCGACACAAAATTCCAAGGGTAAGATTTTGGGCAGCAAATGCGTGAATTTTGACTGGCCGGAAAGGAATGTGACATGACTAGGTTGACATATGGACAAGACATTTGACATGGTGCTAATTTCAAGAAAGAAAATTAATTAAGGTAATCATGGTGTCGGCATTTTGGAAGACAAGACAAGAATGTTCCAAAATGATTATGTCTGCAAATCAGGAGACAAGAATTTCTTGCATGTAATTCTAGCGGCCGATACTAGATTTTGGAAGATTCGAGTAATTATGATGTCGGTGAT